CCCCTTTAACACTGAAGGGATTTAACAATTGTGTATTCTGTGTTAAAACAATAAGATAATTTATTGATCACAAAAGCATCAGGTGTTTGCAATACCGTTTACTCATTAAACGTCAAATTCGCTGCATTATCATGATAAAAAGATATTTGGTTTGAGTGTATTCGTTTGTATTCAAAATCCATTATTTAAATACACATTTATTGCATTAACAATGATAACTATTTTAGTTTCAAATGCGAATCTCCTTAAAATATCACCCATTTCACTTGGAATTTTTAATAAATTGATATGTAATGTTTTGATGAAATATTATAAATCAGAAAACAATTATATAAGCAATCCTAAAAGTATCTAGAATGAAGTAGATAAGAACGATGGATCTTAGTATCAGTTTCAATCAGCAATTCCAGCTCCTGTTTCACTAACCACAAAAGCATTATATAATACCAAAGACTTATCAATTAACTATGTTTAATCGTGAAAAAGACACCTTGGGTTTGTATTATCATATGCAACGAAAGTTCTTTATATATCTTCACAACCGATTTCTCATCTCCGAATTGGAAACCAAAATCATATATCATCACCATTTTATACATTCTATCTTCCCAATTCTGATGGTTGCAACCTAGTATCACCGATAAGTCCTAGAAGGACGAAATAACTGTTTGATTTAAACATATTTTTATTTGCATCTTTGCCATCATATATTCCGTCTTTGCGTATTGCAGAGTTATCTTCTCTTTGGAGCAGGTATTGATTGTTACGTCACTTGTTTGTGAGAATAACGTCATCAATTTTTGAGAAAACGACGTAATTTTCTCACACAGACCAATGACGTAACAATCAATACCTGCTCCCAAGAGAAGATAACTCTGCAATACGCAAAGACGGAATATAAGTTGTCCAACCCATTGAACGCGTCAAACAGCTGTATGATACAGTGTTATTCATTTTTGACAAACTGTGTCTATTACCAAATTGTTAAGGTGCAATCACCTGTTTGTGTGTGTCACGTTCAACTTTAAACACTACAAAACAAACTTTTGTAAGATAAATTGAATAAGATTTGTCATACCTTCTTCTTCTGAATAAATTGTTTTAAATCTCTTTTAATTAATTGACCAAAAAATCTGAAGAATTATGTCTTTCAATAAACTACCATAAAGCATTTTGGAAGCTTCCTCTACAATTTCTTTTTTATTTGATTTTTATTTACATTTTTTTTTAAATATATGTTTGGATATATATGACTCATTTTGAAGAAATGTCCCTTTGTTTAACTATTGTTTTTGTATGCTTTTGTTTAGTGTTTAACTTTGATTTTTGAGGATTATAGTTATTTTCTTGCATAAATATTAATTAAATTTAATAAGAGCTCGCAATTCAAAATAAAGGTGAAAATCAAATTTAAGGAGATTAACCATTCCATGTACATCGAGAATATTGCTGCATACTTAATTCTTTCATGGAATTTTATTTTGAATAGGATTTTGTGAAGAACGCCAGGTGAGTTTAAGTCTACATTTTGGTGTAAGGTAATATTCTATAGTTTTGTTTTGTTTTATTCAATAACGGTTAAATAGATTTAAACAGAACTAAAATGAAAACAAATTAACCCTTTCACCACTGTAGGCCATAATGGACTCATCCATATCGATGCATGGTGATGTCTACTAAAGTTACATAGGGGTGAAAGGGTTAAAAGTGAAAAGCAAACACTTATCTTTGATCGTGTTTTTATTGTTATGATCATATTGTAATTAGAATGAAATTTTAGTGAAAGATGAAAGTATGCAGCATGTCTGTGAATCTCAATTTCCTGTGCAATGATAAAAATAAACATACAGGAAGCGAGTCAATATAACATTACAGAGTCAAGTGATAACATCTTATATCAATACTTGTTGAAAATACAGAGGAAAGAATTTTCATGCACAAAAGACGAGTGTATGACCACGGGTTAAGCTTACTGTTTCATTGTTTTATACTGACTTCGAGCCTGAGGATTCTCGTTTGAAAATATTAGGTTCAACAAAACAATCAAAAATATAACCGGGGTATTTGATAAGTAAATTTTTGATGTTATTACAAAAAAAATATTTTGAAATTACTAATAAAATTTAAATTTGTTAGAAAATGGTAACAGCTATCGTCTAAAAAAGATATTTACGTTTACGTTTTTATTTTTGAAAGAAACAAAAAAATTAAGTTGGTCGAAGAAGGCTATAAAACAGCGAAATCAATATCTTGACATGAATTACATTGCGAAAAATAACGTCAAAATACATTTCACTACAAACGTTGGGGGAGAGCCCTATTATATTTATATCTGTAAGGACGATATAACAATTAGTGAGGGAGGGAAAAAACTACTTAACGATAAAATTACAGGTGGCGTGACCAAACAGTTATCATACAGTATTATATATGAACCATCTGAAATGATCAAAATGTAACGAAATGACCATTTGTTTTACAAAACCCACATATAATAGTTATCCTTCTAAACCATGTGGTTTATAAATATGTATTTTTTTAATTAGTCCATATTATTAAAAGAATCATATTAATAGCTGTAATATAAAAGAACAAACGGTCATTTCCTAGAATAATATCCTTTTGTTTCAAGAATACATGTATTTTATCAATGAATGAATGAAAAACACAATACCACTTGCTGTGCATACATTAAATAGTTACAATATTAGTCTATTTGTTGTAGAACATTTTGGGTAGATTATTGAAATTATTGGAATAAAACCATGAAAAATCATCACATTGTCTTTATCATTCTTTCTCTATTCGTTATTGCCTGGCCAAACTTATCCAAAGATGTATGTTGGCCGTTATCATAATTTTGCTCCTTTTTCATTTGAGATATTGCATAAGTAAAAATTGCGCAAACTGAAGTTTCTGTATATTATTTTTAAATATATATATAAAAATATATTTACAGAATCAAAAATGAAAATGATGTTGAATACAATTGAACATCATTTCTATTTCGAGAGAAAGACATTTTCGCCAAAATGCAAATCATTACGAAAAGAAAATATTCGATTGATTTTCTTAAAAATAAGTATTCTCTAAAATTATGCTATGCATGATGATATCATGTTATATTTTGAAACCATTGTCGCTTTCAATAACTACCATAAAGCATTTTGGAAGCTTCCTCTACAATTTTGTTTTTATTTGACCTTTCTTATTCTTTTTTCTTTCTCACTGAATATTAATTCAATAGACTCTTTGTTGAATATTCATTGAGCAATTGTCAAAAACCTGTGCCGGTTAACCGATAAAAACAAAATCAACAACTTTCCCCGTTTCGCAGGTTTTAGCAAACATTATTTGTTCATTTGTTTGTTTGTTTGTTTGTTTGGGGTTTAACTTCCTTGCAACAGTCTACGTCAGCTGAAAACGGGTTCCTAGGGAGACACCGCTGAAAAAGAACGTGAACGTGAAAATATGAAAAGAAAATATGTAGATCTAAAGTCTTGCAATACAAGTTACCACTCTGTCGATATGAACGAGCACATCAACTTTCCCTCTATTAAGCAGATTTCGGGGCGTACGTGATTTGTATGTTTGCAGTTTAGTGTCTTCGTAACAGCCAATGTAATTTTCGGACGTTGCAACGGAAGATACCACAAAACAAAGAACGGGCAGGAGAGTCGGAAAAGAAAAGATATAAATCTCAAATGTTACAAAAGGAACAGCAGATCAATTATGGAATTTTCAATGTCCTGTAAGAAAAAGACAATGAAGAAAATCCCCGATTCTGCACTAGAACCATATAAGCATATTCTAACGATAAGCAATAGCATAAAGCAGGTCTATTTTATCCCTGAACCAGCAGGGGTTTGACAAACCTGAAGTTCCATTTATTAATGAAAGCCAAGATTTCTACTTACGTTAACTGAACTTATCAGTATCATACGTTTTATTTGGTCCAAAACGCGTATTGACCTCATAGTCGTAGGCTAGCACCATGTAGACGGCTGTATTTGTTTTGTCCCGGAGCATGACCCCTTTACATGGTACTTAAATCCGTCTACCAAGGAATAAGCCATATATGGTCTAGGTTTGGTATTTCGTTTTTCTATTTTGTGATAATCAAGAGGTACTGTATATAACTTCTAATGACGGGTTTGACATAATCCATAGCGAGCAGGGGGTCGTGGTCGCCTGACAGTATACTACCACTAGCCCCCCTTCACTGGGTCGCGGGTTCGAGACCTACATAACACAGTCGCCAGGTACGGTGGATCTTCTCCGGGAACTACGGCTTTCCTTCAACATTTGAGATTGGATTTAAGAGTACAAGTTTGTTAGCGCTATTTCTCAAAAAGCACTGGAAGGATCTATCTCAAATTTCACATGTAGGTTTCCCGTAGTTCCAAGTTATTAATTTCGAATTTTGGGACTTAAGGAAAAAACCAAGATGGCTGACAGGCAGCCATCTTGAATTTGAAAGTAATTAAAGTTTGTAAGTGTTATTTTTCAGAAAGTATTGGAGGGATCTTTCTCAAATTGAACAGGAAAGTTTCCCATGGCTACGCGTTTCAAATTTTGGGAATGATTGGCAAAACCAAGATGGCCGGCAGATGGTCGTTTTGAATATTGCTCAAAAAGTATTGAAGGGATCTTTCTCAAATTTCAAATAAGGGTTCCTCATGGTTCTGATCTAAAAACCAAGATGCTGACAGGCGGTCATCTTGTTACAGTTTAAGTTTGTTATCGCCATTTATTAGAATGTCCTGGAGGAATCTTTCTCAAATGTGATATGTAGGTTTCTCTTGATCCTTGGTTGTGCATGTTAACTTTTGGGGTTGATAAAACTGAAAATGATGGCGGACAGGCAAACTGATCAAACAGATAAGAAAAAAAAGAAGAGAAAAGATCAAACTGATATTGAACTGATGAAGATGATACGATGGTGGGCGCCATTTCTTC